GCTTATACCATAAATACACTCTAGAACACAATATAAGGGGAGCAGGATGGGTGTTCCACATCAGAAGACTTTCCTGAAAAATAACCAGACAGAACTTTTGTAAAGCACTGTAAGAGTTTCAGGCTGAATTCCAGGAGTTCGGACAACGGCTGAAGGAGTAAGATTGTAGCATGAGATGAATTTCATGTCTTGGAAACATCTTAGAATATACAGGTTCTTTAAACAAGAAAGCTGAATCATGGCTATGTATGAAACAAAGAGTGACAAACTGTTTTTCTGGGTGGGGAGACCAATTTTGAGTTTATGTTTTTAACTATCACTGTAGCCTTCCTTCTAGACCCAGGCACAAGTCGTAACAAGAACAGTGATCCAGATGGTCTCTTTATCTGCCCTGTGACTTGATTCTGATGAAATTGTTCACTGTGGTTTTCATATTTTGCTCACTGGCATCACTGGTTGATAAAGGGCAGATTAAAAATGTTTCACATGCAATTTTGCCTTAACGATTTTTAACTATTTTAAAAATAGTTTACAATACTAAGCAAATGGGAGAATACCTTTTATTTGTGTGAAGTTCAAAATACAACATGTACATGTCCAAGTTACAATGAACTTTGATAATGCATGGTCTCAAAGAATTTCAACTACAATCCTCAGAAACCTTATTAAGGAATAATTGTATGCATGATAGTGGACTCATTCAATAGGCATATGTTTTAAGAAGAGCAGATTAACTGCCTTTCAGATTAACTTGTCAGGTATACTGGGGGCTGGGAGAGGGCAGGGAAGAAGAATGCTGCTTTCAGGCTAGCCATCTTTTAAATCATTAGTTCATATATATGAAATCGCCATGCATGTGAGATGATCAAGAATAATTTCACTACTGTATTATGAAATCCGAGCCGAAGCTATTTGGATGTTCCTCCATCCTGATCCACAAACAAAAGGTTACACCGGACCAGCTGACAGACCCCGGATATAAGAGAAAAACAGCACACGTCAGTAATATTGACTCAGCCACTGAATAAACTCATTCTCACACTCTAGCTAGTTCCCCAGCATCCCAATTATTTGAGATAGCCAGCAACTAAATTAGCTCACCCTGTCAAAACATGCCAATTCACAGATCTCTCACGGCATACCATCTGACTCGTCTGCTACACTCCTATCTGCCTGCAGCTATTGAAACTTACTTATAAACCCAACTGAAACCAAGTTTAGTCAATTTGCCTTCAATGAGCCATACTTCCAAGGTATGTTTAGGAATGCAACATCAACCTCCCAATTCTTTCTGTCTAGAACAGTAAATAAACAAGAACAGACCATTCAGTAAGTCCTTCTCTCACAAAGATCTATTCCATTCTTCCCACACTCCAATCCTTTCCACTTCCCCCTTTAATTTCCAAAATTTAACTCATCAGCTCCATCCATAGCCATCTCCAGCCCATTATTTTTCTCCTACCTGTGACCACCTAAACTTCCTTCTTGCAAAAAGCCTGCCTCTTTATTCCTGATCACTGTTCCACTGCTGTTGCACACACCCAGTTCCTTTCATTTCCAAGGAGGCTAGGGATCCAAGTACTGTACCTCAGACATAGACAACAAGGCATCCATCACTTTACTGGAGTCTGGAGCCAAGTACCAATATTCATTCAGTGCTTGGGGGGGGGCAGGGAAGTGGGGCACAGACACCAAGAAAGGCCCCCACAACCCCTTTCACACTTTATCAAAAAAGAAATAAAGTTTATCTCAGCACTGGCAGCAAAACTGCTGTGAAATAGCGTCCCTTAACATAAGAAAACTTAATTATTAAAGAAACAAAAACGAAGCAGCAGCTAATAAGTAGAAAACGAAGAATACATGGTGGTTATTTTTTCAGCAGGAGTTAATCACGCTAGGAAGCTCCGAGGCAGAAAATGTGTAGGTCCACATAAACAAAAGCACATGCTGGTGTTTTGGAACTGGCGAGGCTTTTTGGCCAGGGCTGCATCCCAGCCGCCTTGAGGGATGCGAACTCTAATTAAATAGACAAATAAGCTTTGCCCCCCTCCCCCTCCCCAAATTCCTGCCCCCTCCTCCGCCCCGCCCTCTCCCCACCAGCGTTCCATTGCAGGCCCCGCCCCCCTCAGCCCCGCCAGCTCCCCCCCCATTGGCCAACCACCTCTCGCGCGGCCCAGCTGCCAACCAATCCAGGAGGGCATGTGGGGGGGGTCTGCTGAGGTGGTCCCTCCGCCACCTGAGGGGATGCGAAGTCGCTTCCAGGCCGAGGAGCCAGGAAGGCGTCAGCGATGGCAATTCCAGATAAGCCCCCCCCCTTCCCGCCCCCACTCACTGTTGAGGCCTGCCTCGGCGGGCGTCCCGTCAGGCGGCGGGTTGTTGTTGTTGTTGTGCTGGTGGAGCGAGTCCTGAGGGGAGGACATGGCGGCGGCGGGGCGAGAGACGCGGCACGGCGAGGCCTCTGCTTGTGGGGCTCTGTTTGTATGCTGGGCAGGCGGAGCAGCAGCAGCAAGCCCAGCCGCCCCGGCTTCACTGCGCACGCGCCAGGGCCGCCACGCCCACGCGCCGGAGCCGCTCGCCCAGCTCCGGCCCCATTCCTCCCTGACGCGCCTCACGTCCGCGCGGGGGTGCGGTCGCTCCGGCGGCGCCGCGCGTGCGCTCTCGCACGCGCTCACATCCCTCTTGCCCCGCCCCCCCCACCAGCCGCCTCTTACACTGCGCACGCGCTGGTGCCGCCTCCTTCAGGCCCATTTTTGTGTTTCTCAAACTTGGGCTGTTGTTGGACTACAACTCCCAGCATTCCTGACCGCTGGTCCTGCCAGCTAGAGCTGGACATCAAGGGTAGCGGCTGGCGACCGAAGATTGAGAAACACTGAATGACTCCCGACACTTATTTGTCTTAACAGGACTTGGGGGCTCTTGTAGCCCCCCAGGGAAAGGGGAGCTGTGGGCTTCCAGTTGTTGCTGGACTCCATCTCCCATCAGCCATCGCAGCGTAGAGTGAGGGATGGCGGGAGTTGTAGTCCAGAGCATTAGCGGTGTAGGCGCGGGATCCCCGCCCGCGCTGCCCTCGCCCTCTTTTCCTCGCCTCGGCACGTAACGTGGGGGGGGGGGGGGAAGCTAGCTGTCCATAGGAAAACTAGATCCAGGAATTTAATGTATGGCCGTGGGGAAAACAGGTAGCAAAAACCAACAATACATAAAGTCTAATCTTCCTTCTCGCTCATTTGATTTTCTGTGAAATAACATCATTTGGGGAGACAAAGAAATCTGCAGGCTCAGATGTACTATTTACTTTTCCCATCCCCTGGACATGTATAGGACCGGGTTCCAAATCTTTGTTCCGTGTGACTATTTATTATCACAAAATACTGCTCAGGAGTGTTTGAGTCACAGATACCAGAATGTGCTTTCTATATGCGCAAACTAAACACACAGTTTTAAAGTGGTGCATAGATTAGGTGAATGTCAACATCGGGCAAAATTGGATGTCACTGGTTAGCAGATTATTTCCTTCACACAGGATCCCTCTGTCACAAGACCAATAATAATCTTGAGGTGTTTGCAGCGGATCGCTTTATAAATGTGCCACTGGCATCCAGCTATCTTCACTCAAGTATTTTTTTCCCTACGGGAAAAGTATTCAAACCACCTTTTTGTGATAAAAGCATACTGATTGTATGGTTGTGTCACAGGTTACTACTGGATGGTGCCTGAGACATCAGCACCACTCTCGTGATCAGAGACCCTTTTCAGGTCAAGTGACTTCGTGTCCATTCTCTGCTCCTAATCACTATCAGGTCTTTATTTGCGTCAAATTTACAACTGTTGCAGAAAGCACATTCATCCAACCTCAGTTGTAGTTTCTGCCCCAGTTTTCAAAAAACAGCACTGCTGATCCACTGGGTACAATTTATTGAAGTATTGCCAAATTCTGATCAAAAATACTAGCTTTCCACATGCAAATAGTTTATGATAGGTTCATGATCAGAGTAGACCCAACTGTCAAGGGATTCAATGTTCTGAAGACTGCACCATGTCTCATTTTCTCATAAAATGTTTTGGGTCAGTTGTCTGAATATTAAATAGCAGAAAGATTCTAGGAGGCTACTTTCAATCCTAACAGTTGAAAGTCCTACAGAACTTGTTCTAAAATAAGCATGCAAGAGATTGCATCCCTAGAAAATGGGGGGTTGTGTCAGTGCAGCAAAAGTTCTTTAGGAAAACCTTAGGAAGTGATTAGCGACTTTCCCCGCCCCCCCCCCTCCATAAGGACACCCTGCATCCATTCTTGAAAAGCAGTCATGGAGATTCCCAAGGGTAGCACTTGGGTACTGGAATTATCCTGAAATCAGTAACAGTAACAGAAAACCTTTCATTCCAAGATGTTTTCCCATCAATCTTACATGTATTTGTAAAATGGCCTTCCTTTTTCAAGACACTCAAAGTAATATATAATAAAACTAAAAGCATTAAAATTAACAATACACCCAAGCATTAAGCAGCTAGTGGAAACACCCACCATCTTCTAAATAGAGACTTCAGATCAAAATTGCCCAACCAAATTAAAAAAAAAACTTTTGCATGTCTGAAGGCAGTCTGGCAGTTCTCCTTAGCTCCTGAACATCACTTTAGAAAAGAACTCCTGAAGGTTTGGATTCCCAACAGAAACCACACTGCTTGCAAAATGTTTAAGATGTGTTCTTAAACACAAACAGTATAAGCATAGTAAACGTGGCACATAAGCACCTTGCACTCAGCTACATTAGTAAAAACAACACTTTGAATGCATTATAAACATGCAACACCAGATGGCGCCAGAGAGCAAAAAAGCTATGTGATTTTTGCATAGCTGTTTCCCCCCTTTTGTTAACAATTTAATTTCTGAGTTATTTATAGCATTTTTTCCTGTGTGTAGATCCACCTTTAGTGCTTAGATTCTGAATGACATGCAGACAGCTACTGTCATTTATTTGTGGACTTGAAGCATTTTCTGATCACCGTGACTTTTCAAGTTTGTCTTTAATGGCAGGAGTTTCGAAAAGTCAAATGAAAAAAGGAACACTCATAAGGTAAAACTACATTTCCATTCAAGTTACCAGTAGCAACAGAAATACATAAAATATAGGGATACTCAATGCAGTATAATTTTTAAAATCTATTTAAATCACTTTATATTAAATTTTGCACGACGTACTGCTTAAAAAACAAGAAATTTTAATGACATCTTTTTTAAAAAGAAAAGAAAGCACTGTCATGTGAGTCTGGATCCTAAACAAGGCATTCAATAAAATTAGGACAAAGGGGTTAACATAAGAAAAAGGTTAGTCCCATAAAACCTTAATTGTAGTCTACAAAAGTTCAACCCCCCCTCCCCAATTCAGACAAAGAGCTCTGTTAACAGAGGAAAGAGGGGGAAAGGGAAGCATTTACCAATATATGAAATGAATGAATGAATGACTGTTCAATAGAATCCAAGAGGTTGTTTTTTTTAAAAAAATGCAAACTGCTCTTAAATACTAAAGTGACATTTTAACATTTTCATATAGGAATAAAAAGAACAACCCTTCCTCCATTTCCTAATGAAAAATAATACTGGTTAAAATCAATGCCAAAACATTTTACCATGCGTCAAGTTATTTTTAATAATAAAAAAAGAAATTCATATATAAAGAGGTAGATTAAAAAGGGGAAAAAGAACAGATTCACCATTCTTTGTCACTTTTATTCAGTAGAATCCCCACCCCCACCCTTTAGGATTTTATTTTTTATGCCAGAAATGGCAAAGAGTGATTACAGTCAATTGTTTATTAAAAACATTTTATTCTTTGCAACACAGACCCCTTTGACCCATTTTATGTGCTTTTCACTTTTTTTTCTCTATGCACCACCACCATGGGGCGGAGGGGAGGGGAACGGGGGTTTTTTTTAAGGGAAAGGAGTCCAGGAGGCATAGGAGGAATGCTACAAGCCACAGCAAGAATGAGCTGTTGTTTAATAATAAAAAAGGGCCACAAATAATACAGTAATGAGGTTACACAATTAAATCCCACAGCATGACTTGAAGGCTTTTCCCTGTGGCAGACGTCATCACAATGGAAGGCATAAAAAACTGGAGGAACCAAATCTTGATAATAGTCCAAGCTCTAGTCCATTAGGCAAGATGGTGCAAGTAGTCGTTGTATTAAAAAGTGCCCTAGCCTCACCTAAATGGCTAGCAGACATGGAGAACTCCTCAACAGAGAGAAACCATCCACATAGCTATCTAGAAGAGTGTGTTGTCAAATATGGCACATTTTTAAATACTGGGAAAGATGTGCCACAATGGACTTCTCTCTCTCTTGCTCTCCCGCACTCTGTTTTCTCCCCTCTATTGTTTACGGGTACAAATGCTAGATTCGTCTATCTGAACTATGCAGGAAGTGGACTCCTCTGCTAGGAACACTAGCTCTAATTCACTTTGTCTTGAAATATATACAAGTTGTTTGTAGTGGCTACGGCAATGATATTTTCCTTGGGATGCCAGGCTGTGTGGAGGATTTTCTTGTTGAAGTCTAGGCTGTCGACACTGATCTCGTCCTTCTTCCGTTTGCCGCTTGCGCAGACTTTGCGGGGCTTTAAGACGGTGCGGGGCTTATTGTTTTCCCGAGATGCTTCTAAAGTGATATCCCGCTTTGTGTTCCTATCAAACATTCTGAAGAAGTTGTTGTAGGAGCCAGTCATGACGACACTGAAAGGTGGAGAAGACAAAAGAGAGTTTCCAGGTGTGTTTCCTTGCTAGAAGCTTTTACTGCAGTTCTTTTTATTCAGGGAGCTGAATAAATATTCACGGGGAAAGTATCCTATCAAAAATACAATTGCATTTCAACAGCATGGGCACTTAATACATGAGCACAGGAAGCTGCCATATTCTGATCCAGCTAAGTATCAATGCTGATCGATTTCAGTATACTTATCTAGGATCAGCACTGTCTGCACCAGTGTGTCTCTAACTTCGGTCCCCAACTGTTGTTGGACTACAACTCCCATCATCCCTGACCACTGGTCCTGGCTGCTAGGGATGATGGGAAGTTAGAGAAACACTGGAGATGGCAGAAATTGAACCCGGGACCTTCTGCATGCAAGATAGATGTTCTAACACTAAGCCTTCTCAGTGCTCAGACGGTTTAATGATTAACTATTTTCATGGTACTGAATCATGCGTGCTTTAGGAAATGGATTTTTGAACAGAAATTTCCAGTTTTACCAATACAAAACAGAAACTGGAACACCAACATGTACAGTTCTTACACTAAATCACCTTGCACATAAAATTAAAGGGAACTGGGATGCCCGTTCTGTTAAACAGCTTTCAAACTGCTAGGTACCCAGTAACACCTCTGCACTGCTTGCTTTTGAGGGTCGCGGGTGGCGCTGTGGGTAAAATCTCAGCGCCTAGGGCTTGCTGATCGCATGGTCAGCGGTTCAAATCCCCGCGGCGGGGTGAGCTCCCGTCGTTCGGTCCCAGCTCCTGCCCACCTAGCAGTTTGAAAGCACCCCCAAGTGCAAGTAGATAAATAGGTACCGCTTTATAGCGGGAAGGTAAACGGTGTTTCCGTGTGCTGTGCTGGTGCTGGCTCGCCAGAGCAGCTTCGTCACGCTGGCCACGTGACCCGGAAGTGTCTCCGGACAGCGCTGGCCCCCAGCCTCTTAAGTGAGATGGGCGCACAACCCTAGAGTCGGACACGACTGGCCCGTACGGGCAGGGGTACCTTTACCTTTACTGCTTGCTTTTAGAAGGATTGTCAGAACTTGTTTATCAAACCCTGCAGTGAATGCAGTTCAGCCAAAGGAGCCAGGTAAATTCATGGCTGCATTGTGATGATCCCTGCCAAGGGGATGGGGAACTTTGCCCTCCCGATGATGTGGGACTTGAATTACCATCAGCCCTAGCCAGCACTGTCAGTTGTCTGGGATGATGGGAGCTGTAGTTTAGGAGTAACTGAAAGGTCACAGGCTGCCCATCCCTGCCATAACTAGGAAACAGTGAATGTCCTTCAACCCCACATACAAAAATGCAGCCATTCCAAAATACCAAACAAACACCACCTCATTGCAACTATCAAAAGAATCAAGATGGCAACACTGAAATGGCTTCTGGAGGAGTTTGAAAACTGTGTTAAGAATCTGTTCATTTGGGCTTCTGGTTCCGCTCTGCCTTAATGGAGGCAGCCCCCACGACAGCGGGAGATCATAGGTGAAGGAAAAACAAGGATGGTTGATAGCAAATCATCCTTGCAAATTCCACCCAGGGCCGGGGGGAACGAGCTTCAATTGTAGTTCGTCTCGGAACCTGGCTCCCGCTCCGGCATGGAATGAGGGGGGCAGGGAGGCATTGAGCCTGGCAAAAACCCTCCAATGCTGCCATTAAGAAGCAGAGGTTCTCCTCTTAATTAGAACTTAATTGGATTAAAGTACAGGTGCGTGCTGGAAGAGATGAGATCACAAACTGTGGAAAAAACCAACTGCAAGGACTTTAAGGTTTGAATCTGTGATAAGACTTTGTTCGGTAAAAAAGACAGTGGGGGGGAGCCTACAGTTTCTTTATTTAAAGTTTTATTCTCTACATTTATGATTTGGCAACCCTCCTCTGAATGTTAGTTCAAATTATATTTGTACAAGAAGAACTTGGATTATAAATATGGCATATAACATCAAACGGAACTGTGTGTGTTTTAAAAAAAAAAGGAGGGGAGGGGAGGGAAGCTCTATTTTGCAAAAGGTTTATGATGGAAACTTAGAACTGACTCTTCCCCATCCTTTATTATATACAAAGTGAACTGAATAACGCTAAGAGGACTTGGAATTTAATTTAATTGGAAGGATAATCAGCTGGAAAGAAGGATGAAAGGAGTCTGTGAGTTGCCAAGGAACTGGTAAGGTTCTTTATTGAGTCATCTGCAGTCTGACAGACCACTCTTTTTCCTAGGCTGAGGGGGGAAATGGTGACAACAGTTTATTTACTGGGACAGAGAGACCTTCGCAGCTGTTGTTAAAGTTCTTGGTGCAAAACAATGAAGCACGAGACGAAGCGATGGAGATATTTCTGGAATAACAATGGGATACTAGCTCCACCCAAGGCATGGCGGATAACAGCAATAATTGGGGGAAAGAAAGACGTAACATCTTACAAGGACAGGACGAAACACCATGGACAGAATAATTGCCACACACAGGAAGAACAAGGATATAGTTTAAACAAAAAAAATTCCTTCCAGTAGTACCTGAAGGTATCTGAAGAAGTGTGCATGCACACGAAAGCTCATACCAAGAACTAACTTAGTTGGTCTTTAAGGTGCTACTGGAAGGAATTTTTTTTGTTTTGACTATGGCAGACCAACACGGCTACCTATCTGTAAGGATCTAGTTTGAGTTGCTCACTTGAAGTTTTATAAATCATTTAATGTATCAACATGAATAGAAATTATTAATATTACAGTTGTTGTATAAGGGATTATTATTATGACCGGAATGTAACTGAAACTAGTAAGATTTTGGAACGCAGAAATAAAGGAAATAATCAAATGATAAAATCTAGCATGTGGGAAGGGGGCACTTTAACTAAATTATATAATTAGGTACTTGAATGATTGGTATTAATAATTGTATTATAAATTGGCATTGTTATAACAGGCTATTATTGGACTGTAAATGAAAACTAATACAAGTTTATTCCAAAAAGAAAAAAGAAATCTGTTAATTTGTTTAGGGCATTTTAAATCCCAGGCAATTAGGGCAGCACATGTGGTTCCTCTTCATTTTGCCAACAACTTTATGGCGTAGGACAGCCTGTGAGATGGCGACTTGCGCAAGGTAACCCAGGGAGCTTCACGTCCTAGTGAAAATTTGACACTCTTAACTACTATGCCCACAGTCCCTTACAGCACTGCCATTCCTATGACTGACTTCATATTTTATTTCCAGGAAGCAGTTCATGCTATACTGGGAATAGTGACAAGCCCTCTAATCATGACAAAATTATGACGCAGTTGCTAAGAAAATAATTATGATATAATGACAATTGTGTGCCTCTCAGGTATGCCTGACTTTCACACTCCTAAGAGCCAGAAAAGGGTCACATCATTCCTGTGTAGTAGAGCTAGACTAATAAACCTGTAGTCTGATCAGACATTGAATTAGATTGCAGCTCTTCAAGGTGTAGGTGGAGAAGCCTCCAGTATGCAGGAAGATAGCCTATCATTCTCCTATGCAATGTTTCAACTTTCAGGAAGGATGTTTTACATTTTAATTAATCAGGCACTCTGGACTGCACTGTCCAGGAAGAACTGCATCATCACCCCTTTCTTTATATTTAAATTCTTTATTTAAATGTACTTCTTTAAAGAAAAAAATCCATCCATATGGAGTATGAAAATTAAATATTGTTCCCTGTTGGCCTCCAGCAATTGAACTGACAGGGACATTCTTATTATTCAGGCTATAGGAGGCAAGTTTAGAGAAGAAAGCAGTAAGTGGAATAAAGATGCACCGCACTTTTAAATAACTGCTCGTGCACATTAGCTTTTAATGCAGCTTTTCTTTGTAGAGGAGGGACCACAGCTCACTGAGAGCACATGGTTTGTATGCTGAAGGTTCCAGGTTCAATCCCCAGCATCACCATTGTAACGAAAAAACCTCAGGTAGCAGGTGGGTAGGAAGACTTCCTACAATACCAGGCTGGAGGGATAAATAATCTGACCTAGCAGTTATGGCCCTAAAATGAGAAAAGGAGGCCAAGCACCAAACTGTCCACAGGCTGCTTTTAAGCCTGAAAAACTCATGGCACACATAACGATGCACCCATAATGATGATGGAACTGCAGCAGGCAATTAATCAAGCCAAAATGGGCAAAACACGAGGACCAGGTGAACTGTCAGCAAAGTTTTATAAGAAACTGTAAGATAACATTGTCCAGCCATTGAAAGATGTAATGAATAAGATACTAAAAACAGGGAAGACTTCAGACTCTTGGAGAAATTCTTATATTACAATTATTCTTAAACAAGAAACAGACTTATTGTTAGTAACAAACTATAGGCTAATTTCTCTATTAAATGATGACTGTAAGCTGTTTGCAGCTATATTGGAAAACCAGATAAAAATGGTACTAAAAGACATAATTCACCAAGATCAGACCAGGTTTTTGCCTGGTTGACAGATGAAAGATAATGTAAGGAATATAACTGATAGAATACTTGGAGGTAAGAAATTGGAAGCAAGCAGCATTGATGTTTAAAGATGCAGAAAAGGTCTTTGATAATATTTTGTGGACTTTTATGAAGAAAATGATTAATTTCAGAGAGACCTTTTGAAAAGTAAATTTTGAAATGTAAAATAACCAAAGGAACAAGACAGGTGCTATGTCACTGTTGTTGTTTATATTGGCTTTAGAAGTCTTAGCTGGAAGAATAAGATCTGATATATCAATTAAATGGATAACAGTGGGTCAGAGAGCGTATAAACTGAAGGTATTTGCCAATGATGTGGCATTATCAGTAGAGGAGCCATTGGTTAGTATACCAAAGGCTTTAGAAGAAATCAATGAATTTGGAGAAGTAGAAGGTTTAAAACAAAAGCAAGATGAAAATTTTGGTTAAAAATGTGAATGACCAAATGAAGAAAGATCTACAGTCGACTGGACTAATAATTGAAAAGAAATTTAAATATCTAGGAGTGTGGCTGACAGCAAAGAATATAAATATTTTAAAAGACAATTATGTTAAAGTTCGGGGGGAAATTAAGAAAAAATTAGATATATGGGAAAGAATGAATCTGTCCTTATTGGGGAGGATATCGGTGATAAAAATTAATGTGCTACAAAAAATGTTATTTCTACTTCAAACAGTGCTAACGATCAGCAATACAGGATGTTTTATACAATGGCAAAAGGATATTACTAGATTTCTCTGGCAGGGGAAGAAACCAAGAATAAAATACAAATTGTTGATAGATTCTAAAGAGAGAGTTGGATTCTCCCTGCCAAATCTGAGAGCATCTTATGAGGCATCCTATCTTTGCTGGTTAAAAGAATGGATATCATTAGAAAATACTTATTTTTGGATCTGGAAGGACATGATAATAGGTTTTGTTGGCATGCATATTTGTGGTATGACAAGGTTAAAGCCCATAAGGGCTTTTTGAATTATGTTATAAGGAAGCCGGTGTACAAAGTATGTAATAAATACAAAAAGAGAAAAGAGCAAAAAACATTGCGGTGGCTCTCTCTAATAGAGGCAATACAGTGTTACCTCAGGTTAAGTACTTAATTCGTTCTGGAGGTCCGTTCTTAACCTGAAACTGTTCTTAGCCTGAAGCACCACTTTAGCTAATGGGGCCTCCTGCTGCCGCCGCGCCACCGGAGCATGATTTCTGTTCTCATCCTGAAGGAAAGTTCTTAACCCGAGGTACTATTTCTGGGTTAGCGGCGTATGTAAGCTGAAGCATATGTAACCCGAGTTACCACTGGCTATAATATTGAAATGGCAGTGTGGGAGAGATTATGGAACACAGACATAAAATTTACAGCATGCTGTACTTTTAAAGAAAACTATATGAAAATGATGTACCGATGGTATTTAACTTCTAGTAAAACAGCTAAAATGAATAAATAAAAATAAAATGTATGCTGCAAATGTATAGAGAAGAAGAGCACCTTTTACCACACGTGGTGGTCATGTAAGGTAATAAAAAACTTTGGGGAGATGATATATAATGAGTTGAAAAAAATGTTAAAGGTAACTTTTTAAAAGAAATCAGAAGTTTTTCTTTTAGGTGTGGAGATAACGAAGGACCAGAAAAAGCTGTTCATGTATGCAACCACAGCTGGCCAGATGCTGCTAGCCCAGAGATGAAAGGAAGATACAGAGCCAACCAAGGAAAAATGGTAGAAGAAATTAATGGACTATGCCAAAATGCCAAAATTAACAGGAAGAATTAGAAACCAGGAAGAATAAACTTTTAATAAAGAATGGGGAAAATATATAATTTATTTGAAAAATTATTGTAAACAATTAAATGCATTAGCAGGATTGATTTATAACTTGTAGTTAAAAATTTGAACTAAGGAATATTAAGGATTTATTAAAACTTGGAATTATAAAGGAGAATTCATTATGCGAAAGGCTGGGCTGGATGAATCCCAAGCCGGAATTAAGATTGCTGGAAGAAATATCAACAACCTCAGATATGCAGATGACACAACCTTGATGGCAGAAAGTGAGGAGGAATTAAAGAACCTTTTATTAAGGGTGAAAGAGGAGAGCACAAAATATGGTCTGAAGCTCAACATCAAAAAAAACAAAGATCATGGCCACTGGTCCCATCACCTCCTGGCAAATAGAAGGGGAAGAAATGGAGGCAGTGAGAGATTTTACTTTCTTGGGCTTCATGATCACTGCAGATGGTGACAGCAGCCAAGAAATTAAAAGACGCCTGCTTCTTGGGAGAAAAGCGATGATAAACCTAGACAGCATCTTAAAAAGCAGAGACATCACCTTGCCAACAAAGGTCCGTATAGTTAAAGCTATGGTTTTCCTAGGAGTGATGTATGGAAGTGAGAGCTGGACCATAAAGAAGGCTGATTGCCAAAAAATTGATGCTTTTGAATTATGGTGCTGGAGGAGACTCTTGAGAGTCCCATGGACTACAAGAAGATCAAACCTCTCCATTCTGAAGGAAATCAGCCCTGAGTGCTCACTGGAAGGACAGATCGTGAAGCTGAGGCTCCAATACTTTGGCCACCTCATGAGAAGAGAAGACTCCCTGGAAAAGACCCTGATGTTGGGAAAGATTGAGAGCACAAGGAGAAGGGGACGACAGAGGACGAGATGGTTGGACAGTATTCTCGAAGCTACAAACATGTGTCTGACTAAACTGCGGGAGGCAGTGGAAGACAGGAGTTCCTGGCGTGCTCTGGTCCATGGGGTCATGAAGAGTCAGACACGACTGAACGACTAAACAACAACAAAAATTGAAAAACTGAAAAATAAATTTGTGAATGGCTTGGAAACACACACACACACACACACACAGAGAGAGAGAGAGAGAGAGAGAGAGAGAGACAGTTTTACAGGGGGATTACAATGGTAAAAAAATATTTAATGGCCTGCATTTGCACAAGTCTCCCTTGAAGCGGGAGGTTGGGGGATTGTTAATACAGTTCATCTGGAATCCACAAAGCATCCTGAGACAAAGCCACATGGCAGGAGACGAGAACAGTAAAACTATGACAGCTGAATGAACGAAAATGACAAGTCAACAAGAAGTTCTTTTCACCTCACTATTTGTACTCTCCCTGCCCCCAAAATAGTCTCCTAAACATCTGGTTTAAGGCAAAAATGTGAGCCTGAGATAAGGGAGGAGAGGGAAGCACATTTCATTCAGGTATTGCTCAACCAAGGAAACAGTACTTCAAATCACCAGCTTGCATTCAAGTGCTCAGAAATAAAAGAAAACGAAATAAGTCGAGACTTGCCTGTCTGATCCGTTCCAGCAGCACTCAAACTTGTCAAAAATGCAGTCATTTTCATAAAGTGAACAAAGTTTACTTCTGAGGTATTCATGTACCTAAGGAGGAGGAGACACAGTGGTTGGGCATGACGACAATAAATGAATTGTTCAATATTTTGAGTTTTTAAAAACATCAGTATCTATTATGAAGCCAAATATGGAATTTTAATCATTAAAATTGATATAGTACATATTTTATTTTCCACTTTTTATTTTTATCTTACTTTGTTCAATTAAATTGTTCTTAAGAAAAATCACTGAAATATATATATTAAAGAAGGTCTCATCCATGCAGATTCAAGGACATACGTATTATTTAGACAGGTACACTGTGATTTCCGAAGTCAAATCTGAGACCCAATATCTTCATAGCATACCTGGTATGTTTCCACAGGTCTGTTTTCCATATTTAAATCCCAAATTTTCACGGACAGATAATCCCTAGTCATCATATATCGACCACTATGGCTGAATTTGACATCAGATATGGAGGAGATGATTTCGGAGAAAAACGATCGGTTGCTAGGGTCTTCTGGCTCTTCAAACACTGCAAGCAGAAGACAAGCACAGTGGTTCTATCATCACATTTCATGAAGATAAACATTCGTTTCTCAAGCACATTGAAGCAAAAAAGGAGTAATATCACTACTGGGGATCCCAAATGGATGTGAAGAGAAATTTTACACATTAGTTGCCTGATTGAAAAACAAACAAACCCTGAGGCAATGTTGTTATTTTAAACCAGAATCCTCACAAAGTGAGACAGACCTCCTTATACAGATGCATACATTTCCCAGGAGAGGTGTAAGAGGTTCAAGGTCTCCAGCCAGGCAAACTATGTTTTGTGCCAAAAATATCCAAATCTACCAGCCTATATAGGATCATAGAATTGTAGAGTTGTAGGTGACCCTGAGGGCCATCTAGTCCAACTGCCTACAAACACAGGAATCTCATCTCAAGCATCCATGACAGATGGGCACTCAACTTTTGCAAAGACCATGCAAACTGAACTTTGTAGAATACCCTTTTTTTAAAAAAAATGAAAGCAATTTGCTAATAAACATGGAGGGAAGTCTGGAGCAATCTGAAGCCTAACTGTCAGCCACTGGAAATTATTCAGCCACCTTCACCCACTCCAAGTCTGGCTATTAAGATCTCAACAAGCACTGCCCACAAACTTTCCAGAGCATCTCTGCAGCCACTGATGGACAGAAGCTTGTTTTCAAAACAACAACATGAAATTTGAAATCCTCAAAGTGCCAAGTTCTGAAACCGATCTACATCTTTCTAGGCCTTGAGTGAACTTCTACTGCCTTGAATGGACTTGGAGGAACAGTACAGACCAGCTGTTTGCCTCTACCATAGTCTCATTATTATGGCTTTTGTGTTGCTTTGCTATGCTGAGTGGCAATGGATAGAAGCAATGATGTTTTTAACTGTACTGTTTCTACAGGGTTATGGCACCCCTTGGGTTTGGCAAGCTTAAACACCCTCTACATTTTCTTGCTTGACTCGTGATTTTCTCGAAAGAGAGGAAAAAAAGCAACAAGAAGTTGACTAGTACTGAAAGAAACTACTTACATTTTGAATGCCTGTCGCAGAGTGCAGATGCCCTCATGTCACAAAGACGGATTGTTCCTTTGCTACTGCTGTATACGAATGTGTTACAGCTGTTTGGATGGAATTCTGCTGCCGTTATCACCTCTGTCAGTTCTTCCATGTTGGCAGGCTTAATATCTACAATATCTAGAGATTTATTATGTTAAGGACTCTCCTTTTAGCAAGTTTCACAGCCCCTTTTTTGCAGTGTAACCAACCATCAGGGGAAAGAGATTTCTGGAGAATGCTGCTCTTTAGATTCCAGTACTATGGGGGAGAAAAACCTTTCTACCTATGTTATCCAAATCATACATACATTTTGTAAATCTCCATCACATTTCCCCATGCTCCCCTTCCCAATAAATAGAAGCTTGCCTCGTAAGAGAGTTGCTCCAGCAGCCTGTGTCATTTTCTTTGCCCAATTTCACACTTTTCCAGTTCCACAATATTCTTTTCATCCAGTCAACTGTGCACAATACTCCAAGACAGGTTGTACCACAGATTTATATAATACTGGCAGTTTTGTTTTTGATATGGTCCTAATGTTCCCTGACATGGAATTCATCTTTTTCACAGCAGAAAAAGAAGGAAGGAAGGAAGGAAGGCAATACTACTCTAAGATAAATCAAATGATCTTCCACCAAATTGATTCAACATAAATACATTTTTGAGAAAAAGATACTAAAACTTCTGTCTGTAATTTCCAGGTGCCACAAGTTAATCCGTAGGTCATCAGCAGACAGGTATGTTTCATAATCACTATTGATGGAGATAGAGTTAATGTGGTATGTATGTGCATTGGCAAATATTCTTCGTGGACTGGCTTCCACCATGAGATCCATGGGCCTGAATACTGGCACCTGCAAAGTACAAGGGAACAGAGACATCTTCAGCAGCGGTGAAGTAGTGGCAAATTCTGAAGTGCAGGAACACATCATAACACACCCCAATGCCCTGTCCCTCCACGAAGAGCTAAAAAAGGCAGGCAGCTATGTTGAGCTAGATATGCACATATATATCCACCCCACAAAACAACAACAGTACACAGTACAATATCCAATTTACTAGGATCAGCTGACAGTGATGGAACAGATGTTTCTAAAATAAATTCAGCTTGTAGAAGAGATCTGGCAAATTATTATGCAAGAAAGTATTACCATTTAAAATGCAAGCATGGAGTACGAACCCCACCAAAGAAAAGGAAGAAAGTGTCCAACCTCTCTGTTTGATTAGTTGACTTCCTCTATGCTAATCTATCACAAACAATAAGAAAACACGGTTGTCACCTTGTTCACTTGCCAGAGCAAGGAGGACCCATCAGCTCACCCAGTGCTTCATCAGATGTCACATTCACTCCTGTTATGCAAAAAGTGCCCTGAAGCTGACCTCCCCTGTGTTTCCCTTCCACTGTATCATTGGGGAATGAAGAAGATTTTACGATCTCCAACTGTAAATCTTGAGGGTGGTCCTGCATCAATTCCTTGCATGTATGCTAGATCCATTGCACAGCAGAGTGACGATGGCACAGCTGAAGTGTTGAAAGGATCAAGTTGTGCATGGCCAATGGCAATTAAACACTCATGGAAGCAGTAAAGCTCAGTCAAGCATTGTTTACTTGAAAGGCAGTATCAATCTTGTTGGTAGAAGACTATTTACAACTTTACCACCACACAGATAGCAAGGCACACTTCAATCCTACATGCTGCCTACACACAGCTCAGCAGTCTCTCCCCTGTAGGAATCATGCAAGTCCACAGCTAGATGCTCCACATCTATTTATCTTCAAGAATCTTCTCACAGTTTTTGGAAATGAATGGCTCTTTCTCACTTACTCTAACAGGGAAGTGCACCACCAAATGCTATCAGCATGAGAGGCAGAAAGCCAACATCTCTTGGCATGGGAAGATCAGGGCTCATAGGAGTGGCGGTGGTTGTTTTGATCTGATCAACATGGCACTGGGCCTTCGGAGACGGAGAAATAGCTGTAGTGATTATCTGTTGATTTGGACATCATGCCAAACCACAGTTAGCCAGCATCTGATCTGAAGCCTGTTTTCAAACTGTGAGCCACTGTGGGGAAATCAAAACTATTCACGTTGCACCCTTGACATTAAGTGCTTGCCACACGTGACAAATGAAAGTGCTACTCACCCGTAATGTTGTGACTGTAGTAGGGTCCCTATACCGCCCATCTTCTTCTTTCAAGTTATAGCCCTCTGGTCTTTTATCCCGTTCACTGATTTTCCATAGTTTTATTGTTTTATCTGAAACACATTACAGTGGTCACAGTGAGCACCGTTAAGACTACTGAAACCATGACTTACTGATTACACAAGGGAAGACAATTCCAACTAGTTAAAACTTGTTCATGGTTTTTATTTTTAAATAAACCTTTCTTCTACTGATGCTGAACAGTGGGCTGATAGTGCCCTGGCTTTGATTAATTTCCAATAACAGAGGTGGCTAATTTGTAGCCTTCAGGATACTGCTGGTCTCCAACTCCCATCAGCCCCAGCCAGCATAGCAGATAGTCAAGGGATGATGGGAGTTGTTGTCCAGCAATATCTGGAGGGCCACAGGTTAATTACCCCTATCCTATAGGAAAGGGTGTAACAGTCTCAGACCAAGGCTTTTAGTGTGGCTGCCCTAATCTGTGGAACAACATTCTTATGCCCGCTATCCAGAAACAAATCAAGACATTTTTGCTCCAACAATAATTCCCAGCTGGATGAACAGGTCTCTGCCACCGGTGTCTACTTTGTATTGCTTTTAAATTTACTGTCACTCAGCTGTGTCACCCAGTGCCAGTCGGCTTAGTAGAACGCTTTTTACTAGCTGGTCAACCTGAATGATACATTACAAAGTACAGGTCCCATTCCTGAGGAGATTACAATCCAAATTCCAATGCTAAAGGGACAAGAGAAAGAATGGAAATGTGGGTACAGCTAAACTGGGGGTCGCCTATGTATTTATTTCTGTTACAGTGGTATCTCGGGTTACATTCGCTTCAGGTTACAGACTCCGCTAACCCAGAAATAGTACCTCGGGTTAAGAACTTTGCTTCAGGATGAGAACAGAAATCGTGCTCCAGCGTCAGTGGGAGGCCCCATAAGCTAAAGTGGTGCTTCAGGTTAAGAACAGTTTCAGGTTAAGAACGGACCTCCAGAATTAAGTACTTAACCTGAGGTACCACTGTACACATATTTTAGACTTAGCAGCAGCGGGGTATGGGGACAAAGGACAGTATAAACAATGGTTCTGACTACTGTGCAGGTTACCCAGAGCAGCTTGCAGAACCATGAAAAGATGTTTTCAAGTCTAATTTCATGCCTTATAGCACAGAACTAAAGACAACAAAGAAGCCCTCTTTTTGAAGTAGGAACTCAAAAGTGCACAGCTGGTCAAGGAGCCAGAAAAGAATATCCTGGGCTTCAGATCTTACATTCAGGAATCCTGATGGGACCGACAGCAGAGCCAGACTAGAGTCTAGTGATACAGTCCTGCGGAAATTTCACCAAAGTGTTGGAGCTTCTCTCTGACTGATAACATCAGCTACCCAAGGAGGAAGGAGGAGCAGCACTTTGGGAGGGTGAATAAAAGGAGCAGTTTCTGAGAGAGTTGGATTTGAGATGGGAGACAGGAAGCAGGGCTGGGCAATAACTGCTTTCCAACATTGTAATATACCGCCTGCTAAACATTGTGGTACGGCGGTATATCAAAATGTCAGAAAGGAAGTGGCAAGGAAGAAGGCAGTTGCTGGTCACTGTGTGCAGCTTCTGCCTCTTCCTAAGCAACTCCTCCTCCAACACCCACCAACATTAGATAGATGGGGATATGAAGATAATGAGAGTCCTAAAGAATCAAATAGTCTAAAAAGAAGTGGGGAGGGTACACCTTTCACTCTAGCCATCAACTGCAGCTCACGCCTAAATTAAGAGAATGAAGAAGGCTGCACAAATAGGTCTATAGGAAGACCTGTCATAAATCAAACACTGAATGAGCCTTACCATTTGTAGACAATAAAAACTGAGCAGCATTTTTCTGGGGTAACCACCTAATTTTGTTGATCTTCTCTTCAATTTCTAAACTTTTCAAGTAGTCAAACTCTGGTTCATGGCTTTGAAAGGTACTGTAAACATTGTATTCTCCTCTGCTGTGAGATGGCGTTTTGTTCTGAAAGGGGGAGAGGGGAGAGAAATTGCATGGAATTCAGTGAATAACCAGTGTAGTTAATGTAGGCCACCTACAGATTACAATTAGTGCGATACAAAGAAATTAGAGCCACTTCACAGACATGAATTATTTCTGAGGCTGTCATTTAAGCAACAAACTCTTAATTGACCAATTATATGAGCTTGCTGATCAATTTGCATTAATGAACACAAACATTCTGAAGCAATGAAAAAGCATTCTTTAGATCAAGGAAAGCGAATCTGTGGTCCTCCATCCCTGCCTGATTTCAAATGTGTAATAAACAGCTATTGTGCTGTAGGACACCCTAGTCATGACTCACAGATGCTCTTCCCTCCAAACTGCTATCCAAAGCTAAACCTCTCAGCACTTGTTTAGCCAACATCTGCAATTCCAAGAGGGTGATGAACCACACTCAAGGGCGTGAGGATGCCAACGCCATTTAAAACATCCCAGGCACCTTTTCAAGCAGGAGGCAGGTTTGAAGCCAAATTCCAGCCCAAGGTAATTAACATTGCACTGGCATGAATCCCGCCTTATTAACAATTACGGGGCAGTATTCATTTCCTGCCTCCTAAGCTGTTCCACAATGCTTTGCACGGTTGCACTGCCACCTCATTCCAGCCCAGGCATGACGACAGCTTTCATGTCAGGTGAATTCTACGAAGAGATCCTGTTTCAACCGATACTGCTCCGTGGATAGCGACTGGGAATCACCTGTTCTGATGGGTGGTGCTTGGCTGATACACAGGAAGCTGCCTTATATGAGGTCAGACAAATTGTCTTTCTACTCCAGTGCTATTACTGGACACCTCAAGGATCACCTTTTCCCACAACAACCTGCTCAGGAATAAAGGTCTTCTACAGAGACCCTTCTCAGGGTGCTGCCACCAACTGAGGTCAAGCAGATAGCATTGAGCCCTCCTGTGGCAAAGTGCACCTGGTTGATAACCAGAAGTTTGGTGGTTTGAGCCCACCCAGGGATGGCTGTGGGAAGAATTCCTGCATTGCAGGGGGGGGGCTAGATGACTCTTAGGGTCCCTTCCAACTCTGGCATTCTATGATTCTAAGAGTATTATGGAATTCCCTCCCTAGGAAAGCTCACCCAACACCCACTTTGTTATCATATAGGTGGCAGGCCAATACATTTTTTTATTCTCACAGGCATTTTAATAAATTGTAAAGAATGAAGCAAGCGGCATTTTAAACACCAGGCCGGTGTTATTTTATCTCACCCTGTAGTTAAGATTGTTTTGAACTGATTGCTGAGTTTTTTTAAACAGCAGACAAACATAATCTGGACAGCATCCATGCAAAAAGGAATGGACAGGATTTCATTGCGACATTCAGATGGACAGGTAAGCAATACTGACTACAGGCGAGTCCCACCTTCCAATCAACAGATAATGAACTGCTCTGGGATTTCAGGAAGATTTTATGAAAACAGACATTTCTTCCAATAAATATTCTGATCTGTAGCAGCTCTTCATAGCTTTGGTAGAACTCTTTCTCATCACCTGGTAGCTTTAATTAACCAGAAATGCCAGAGACTGAACCCAGGACAAGCCTGTATCTCACCACTGAACTTATGTCCTTCTCCCACGGTCTTGCTCATGAAACGCGTAATGAACAAGACAATCCACCACAATCACGCAGGTGTGGAACAGTGTACCCCACTCTTGCACAGGGAGCATTTCATCAACACAGGTGGGAAGAGAGTGGCTCCTGCATGAACAGAGACCACGGTCTGCTCCCAGTGTGGGTTTTGGCATGAATTCTGGAACGGACATTTCCTCTGAAGAAACACACACATTTCCAGAAGCTCAATAAGCCTTTTAAACAGAGATAGGGAAACATTTGGCCCTCCAGCTGTGGCTGGGCTGCATCTCCCATCAGCCCCAGACAGCATAACTAGGGTTCAAGAATGATAGGAGTTGTAGTCCAGTAGAAGCTGGAGGGCCACAGGTTACCCATCCCTGTCTCAAAATACCTTTTCTGATTTCCCTAAGAAATAGATTTTATATATTAGATTCTTTTCAATTTCATTTATCTCAACCATAAACCACCACAAAACAGTAAGGACAGTTTAATAACGAGAACAGATCAAACCAGCAGATAACACCAACCATAAAATACCATTTATCCAATATAAGCAGTTTTGATTATATTTTGCTGTGGCCAAGCCAAGAATTGGCTGCCATCTGTTTTATAGAGTTCTTGCTAACCTTTCTGCAATATATGTTATTTTAAGCATTAGCCTCCTGAGTTCCTTAAGGAGATTATAATCTTAGTTGATTTAAAAACACCATGCCACGAAACTGATGTTTCCTATTTACATAAACTCCTTTCCCAAATTTGGAACCTAGTACGTGAAACCCGTTTAAAGGTTTTAATTTTAATGTATTAAAAAATCAGCTTTAAAAAAACCTGTTAGCCACCTTTTGTTCGCTGTCTCGGTTGTCCAGTTGAACCAGAAGGGCAGGATATAAATATAATAAATAAATAGATATCATTGTCCCCACTAGATGGCGCTAAGAGATCAAAGTAACTTGGTAAGGAAAAATCATTACCAGAAAGAAAGAGTACATAAAGAGAGAGTGATTGTGTGAGAAGAGAAAGGTACAAAGGCTAGAGGAGTTGCAAAGATGACTTATAAACCGTAAGAACCTACAAGAGCTTTTTATGTAAAAACCGCCCAGTATACGTACCGATATACGATACAGTATACGTGGCGCTGTCTAGGACTTGCCGATCAAAAGGTCGGTGGTTCGAATCCCCGTGACGGGGTGAGCTCCCGTTGCTTGGTCCCTGCTCCTGCCAACCTAGCAGTTCGAAAGCATGTCAAAGTGCAAGTAGATAAATAGGTACTGCTCCGGCAGGAAGGTAAACAGTGTTTCCGTGCGCTGCTCTGGTTCACCAGAAGCGGCTCAGTCATGCTGGCCACATGACCCGGAAGCTGTACGCCGGCTCCCTCGGCCAGTAAAGCAAGATGAGCACCGCAACCCCAGAGTCGGCCACGACTGGACCTGATGGTCAGGGGTCCCTTTACCTTTATACGTACCAAGGCAAGACATCCTAGGCAATCAGAGGAGCGTAAGACTCTCTGGCTGGACCAGCCCAGTGGCCCATCTAGCCGAGTACCCTGTGCTCACAGTGGCCCACCAGATGCCTGTGGGAAGCACACAAGCAGGACATGAGCGCAACAGCACCCTGCCCACCTGCAACTCCCAGCACCTGGTACTCAGAGCCACATTGCCTCTGACAGTGGAGGTAAGAGCACTGCCATCATGGTTAATTGATATAGCCTTTGCCTCCATGAATCTGTCTCATCTCCTTTTAAAGCCATCCAAGTGGGTGGTGCTCACTGCCTTTTGTGGAAGCCAATTTCATAGTTTAACAATGTGCTGAGAGAAGAAGTCCTTTCTTTTGTGTGCTCTGAATCCTCCAGAACGAGATCTAGTTACAAGAAAGGGAGAAAAACCTTTCTCTATCTACTTGATTGCACCATGTATAATTTTATGCATTCCTATCATGTCAACTCTTATGTGTCTTTTTTTCTTAACTAAAAAAGGCCCAAAGTGATGGCTCTCCTGTCTTTTTAGGCCACAAAAGAGAGACTCTTAATTTCAGGGTCGTGGGTTCAAGTACCACATTAGGCATACAATTTCCTGCATTGAAGGGTGGGGCTAGATGTCCCTCGCAGTCCCTTCCAACTCTGATTTGTATGATTCTATGAAATGAAATGAAAGAATGTGGGTGGCGCTGTGGGTTAAACCACAGAGCCTAGGGCTTGCCGCTCAGAAGGTCGGCGGTTCAAATCCCCGCGATGGGGTGAGCTCCCGTTGCTCGGTCCCTGCTCCTGCCAACCTAGCAGTTCGAAAGCACATCAAAGTGCAAGTAGATAAATAGGTACTGCTCCGGCAGGAAGGTAAACGGCGTTTCCGTGCACTGCTCTGGTTTCGCCAGAAGCGGCTTAGTCATGCTGGCCACATGACCCGGAAGCTGTACGCCGGATCCCTCGGCCAATAAAGCGAGATGAGCACCACAACCCCAGAGTCGGCCACGACTGGACCTGATGGTCAGGAGTCCCTTTACCTTTATCTATGAAATGCATAAAACAGATGTGCAGTACTTTCTAAGGACCATGGTTGTCTGATGGACACCTTATGAGCACAAACTGGTTGAGTGGTTTCAAAGCCATTTTAATGAAAACAGACAAAATATTTGCTATTCATATGACATGGTATTTCCAGTGCTCATAAATGTTCAGTGCCTGTTCAAAGGCACAATACCAGTTATATTTACTGCAAGAGAAAATCTATGTAGGGCAATCTATTACAGGCACAAATGTAGGCTACTTGAGAAGGATTTTAATAGGACAAAAGAAGAATGCTACTTGAAACTCAATGACTGTAGGAAAAGCATTGCTTCAGTAAGTTACACACAATGGATTGGATAAAAAAAAACACAAGGAGAAGGAAAAGATGCATTAGTGCTACTCCCTGGACTCCTGAGCAAGAACAATCAGAAGAATTCTTGCAAAACTATGAAGCACCTATGAAGATGCTTAAACCTAGTTAGATCTCTGGCTCACCTAGGCTGAATAGGCGCCAGGGGAAGAAAACATTTACAACCCCTCACCTACACTGGCTGGCAGCAACTCTCCAGGTATCAGGCAGAAAGATATATTTCCTAATCCTGCTAATAGATAGATAGGGGGCAATGGCTTCCTAGAATCTCCTGCATGAAAAGCTTGTGTTCCACCAAAAAGCATTGACTCCTTGCTGATTTTAAATTGTTTTTCAAAATATATTCAACATCTATGGAGAAAGCTTATACCAACAGATTTACTTTTCCAATAATTAATAAATGGCCACCTGTTTTCAATAAATTGGTTACATCATCAATCTTCTGTAGGTTTTAAACAAAAGTGATTTGGAATACACGAGCACTGGAATACATTTTTCTAGATAATGGTTGGCATTATCTGCTCTGTAATAATCAGCATATAAGATAGTAATACCACTTCTTGGTATTACTATTTTTACAACAGTTTGGTGGGAAAGAAACAACAGCCCAAAGAAACTGAAGATGTAGTTTTGTAATTAAGCTTGTTGCTCTTACAACCCTATAGATACGCACATGGGAATAAGTTCCAGTGAATGAAATAGGACTTACTTCTGCAGAAAGTCACACAGGTTTGCACATTTTTTTTGACTGCATTCCTAATCTTTAACCAGTATTTCCTTACAATCAGTCATGGCCACCATAAATTATAAATTTCCTATGTAACATGTCCACACTGGGTTACAATAGTAGAATATTATGCTGGTGCTTTTTGGCGCAGTTCTTGTTTTCAATGTATTCTCAGAGCACCATAAACTGGCCATAATTTTCAGGTAAAAGATGCAATTCCCTCTTGAAATCTATAGAGCAGGGTGGACGCAACCCGAGGGCTACATGTAGCCCTGGAGGCCTTTTTTGGCGGCCCTCAAGTAACCTTTTACTCCGCAGTCCTCACCCCACAGCATAAGCCAGTGGTGTCCAAACTTTTTTCAAAGAGGGCCAGATTTGATGAAGTGAAGGGCTGTGAGGGCCGACTAAAGGGCCAACCAAAGTTGTTAACCTTTTATTTAGGATTGAAGTTGTTGAGCTGCCACAGGGGCCAGATTAAACCAACCGGCAGGCCGGATTAGGCCCCCGAAACGGACTTTGGACATGCCTGGCAGCCTGGCATAAGCAAAGCACTGAGATTTAGAAAAGAGGCATGAGGGCTCTGACAGGGTACTAGAGTCCTCCTGTCTCCTTCCCAAAGCCTAGTTAGCACTTGCTCAGCTTTGGGAAGGAGGTGGGTGGGCTCTAGAACCCTGCCAGAGCCTCGTGCCTCCCTCCCAAAGCCCAGTACCTCATTTACCTGGGTCATGAGGAAATTAGGTTGTGGGTATGAACAGACCACACTGACACAGAACTCACCTCCTGCTCTTGTTGAAAGATAACAACTCTACCGCCTTTGTCTCCTGTTGCTAGCAATTCTCCAGAATGATTAAACTCTACTGTAGAAATTATATCTGCTGTATAATAAAGAGAGAAAAATGTATGTTAATATATTTTGTGCGTACATTTTCATGAAATACATTTACACAGCAATCAGAAAAACTTGCACTATGATGAGGCAAACTTCCTCCTGCGATTTGGATTCAAGTTCCTTCTTATCCACAAAGCTCACCTTGGGCAGTCACAATTTCTTAGCACAACCTATTTCTCAGGTTTGTTGTGAGAATATAAGGCAAGAAGAATCAGCAGGTATGTTGCCCTGATCTCTTTGAAGAATAAACAAGCAGTTCTAAATTGTCAGCTGCACCAACCTTGCAAGGTTGTCACGAGGATAAAATTGGGAAGGCGGGGAGAAAAGATGGGATGCACATTAATTTGAAATAAAAAAGGACACTTGACAACTGGCACACCATGACCCCAAAAAGGGGGGCTCAAGGAACTTGCCTAAAGGCACCATTATTTAGCAAGCTCACATTTCATTCACTCATTTACTTAGCTCTTTTGTGTCAAAGGCAAAACACATCAATAGCCACCACATAAGCCTCTCCATGGAGGCGCAGGTTGCAGCCACAGCAAAGGTGGCATTTTCCCATCTCTGCCATATTAAGCAGTTGGTCCCTTACCTTTCTCGCCCTGATCTAGCCACAGTGATCCATGTGACGGTCACCTCCAGGCTTGATTATTGTAACTCGCTCTACGCAGGGATGCCTGAAGCTGACCCAGAAACTCCAGCGGGTGCAGAATGCCGCGGCGAGGCTCCTTATGGGGTCCTTGCCACGGGATCACATTCATCCAGTGCTTTACCAACTGCACTGGCTCCCGGTAGAGTACAGGTCAGGTTTAAGATGCTGGTTTTGACTTTTAAAGCCCTATGCAGCCTAGGACCCACGTACCTACGGGACCGCCTCTCCTGGTATGCCCCGCGGAGGACCTTAAGGTCCACAAATGACAACATTTTGGAGGTCCCAGGTTGCAAGGTGGTTAGATTGGTCTCAACTAGGGCCAGGGCCTTTTCAGTACTGGCCCCGACTTGGTGGAACGCTCTGTCACAAGAGACTAGGGCCCTGCGGGACTTGACATCTTTCCGCAGGGACTGCAAGACAGAGCTGTTCCGCCTGGCCTTTGGTTTGGACTCAGTCTGACCCTTATGTTTCCCTCCCCTTATGGTCTTGATCTGTCGGCTACTTTTAAAATGAGGCTGCATTTTAAATTGCATTTTAACCTGTATTTTAAATTGCGCCCCCCCCACATTATGTTTTTACTGTGATTTTATTGGTGTTAGCTGCCCTGAGCCCGGCTCTGGCTGGGGAGGGCGGGGTATAAATTAAAATATTTTTTTTAAAAAAATCATCATCATCATCATCTGACTTCAGGCATTTCTCCTCATGTGACAAAACTACTGTCTGAGAGTGAAACTGGGCCCACCAGTGAATCTCCTGCAGTCCGTGGGCTGGAGAAATGTCTGCAATAGGGAAACTTTTTAAATGCAATACAAGAATGTTCTTTTGGGGGGTGTGTGCTCAGGATAGGGGACACAATGGCAGAGCCCAGCCCTCCCGCCCGCTCAGTTGTTGATTGGTCAAAGGGGGCGTGGCAGCCGCTTCCCAGCAGCAAGCTACCCATTTGGAAGGAGCAACCCACTGAAAAACCTTTGCACCAGCATGAAGAGCCACTCCACAGAGTGTTGAGAGGATAAAATGGGGAGAGGGAGAGCAGTGCATGGCACCTTGAGGTCTCTGGAGGAAAGGCGGGATATAACAGTAAAGACTGCAAAGGCAAAAACATGCTCACAGGAGCTTTGCTTGTTTCAGGATTTTTCTGCACCAGTGCAGATTCATCAGTGGAGAAAGGGGCCTTTGCTCATTTCAAGATCTCACCACATTCAGTAGTCTAGCAATGGCAGGGCTGAGGAGGCGGCAGTCTGTCACTCACCTTAACTCCCCCCCTCCTGCAGCCTTAACTTCCAATGATGACCACAGCCAACTGCAGTGGCCGTGATGTTCACAAGGCAGCCGTCACCACAGTGTAGGAAGTGGTCCACTGGTTCAGCCCGTTCAACACTATCTGCACTGACTGGCAGCAGCACTCCAGGGTTTCAGACTAGGGCCTCTCCCAGCCCTACCTGGAGATGGGGGGCGGGGAGAGATGAACCAGGGACCTTCCATGTGCAAAGGCAGATGTTCCAAAAGTGAGCTTCAGCTTTCCCTCCAAGTACCGCTATTCCACCTGCAAACCCCAGATTGGGGAGAGAAGAAGAAGTGGTCCCCTCACTCGCTCCCTCACATGCACACAGACATACACTGTGCTGAGGCTTTTGTCTGGGAGCATCCAAGAGGCCTGGCTACCGAATTCTGTGGATGCGTGAGGTTTAGTCACCCACTTCCAAGGGAGAAGGAAACGAAGGACAGAGACAAAGGAAGAAGCTGAGCAGCCCCTAGCAACTGCTCAAGCACCCCTGAAGGGTACCCACCTCACACACGGGAACCATGGGAACCTTGTGGCACAAGGCAGGTTGCCAAGAACAAAACAAGACTGTTGTATTAGGTCTCCCCACCACCACACACTGCCTCAGCCTCAATGGTCCTGCAATATGAGGCCAGGGGAAGGAGGATCAGAGAGGAAGATAAGAATGCATTACGTTGCTTGTTGCTAAGAGCTGGCAGTTGGCCTTTGCTAGCATTACCAATCTGCCCTTTTCTTGCAAACAGCCAAACAAAACGATTTTGCGATCTTGTAGCAGTGCAATGATTTGGAAGCTCAAAGTCTAGAGAGTAAAGCTGAGCTTGGAAAAAATATATATATACAGTACAATACGTGGCATGTGTGTGTTTGCGTGTATATGCACCAGGGCTGGATTTAGGTTTGATGAGGCCCTAAGCTAATGAAGGCAATGGGGCCCTTTATATGTCCAGCTGTCCTTTGTCAACAACACGTCCGTTCTTAACCTGAAACTGTTTAACCTGAGGTAGCACTTTAGCTAATGGAGCCTCCCGCTGCCACCGCCATGCGATTTCTGTTCTCTTCCTGAAGCAAAGTTCTTAACCCGAGGTACTATTTCTGAGTTAGCTGAGTCTGTAACCTGAAGTGTCTGTAACCCAAGGTACCACTGTACTAGTCTTGGTATCTCCAAAGAGTGCAGAGACAGGCTAAAAGAGGCAGACTGTTTTCCACTTGGCTTAAAGTTCTCTTCAGTTCCTTCTGCACCCCCAGCCGCACACTGTCTAGTAAGCTCATGTGCTGCCTTCTGTTCCCACCAAAGCCCACATCCTACTCCCACCAGGGCCCTTCTCCACTACACAAAGTTTCCTGATCTGCCAGGCAAAGCTCCATTCCGGGCTCCATCCACTGGATCACAGAAGCCCTGGAAGCCCTGGTGACACAGGCTTATTTTCAAAGAACTCCAAACATTCTCAGGGACTGGAAATAATTCCTTATTGGTCTCCTTGGCAGAGCCCATGTAGAAAACCACTTTTACACTCCAAAATCCTCAACCTCTGATATATAAAGTCAAAAGCTAAGTTTTAACCTGAAAATACACTCTTCTGTGTCCTGTGAACTGCTGAGCATGTAATAATGAAACTGTTGACTACCCCTTTAATATCATCTCAGCTTACCATTTAAACTATTTTATATTTTCCAATTTATTTGCAGAAGGGTGTCTCTGAACTCTTAATTATCTCTGACTGCTACTTGGCTCCAGTTCATGTTTCTGTATTTGTTTTCAAGGGTCCTTTGCAAACAGTGACCTGGTTCAGAAATCATGCCAGCATATAAATAAGGAATCTTAACTGTGCCTTTGGTATGAAATTGTATATCTGTGATCCAACAGCAACCCAAAAGCAGAAATTGTGGCTGGAAGCAGGTTGCCAAATATGGTGTGTGCTAACTATGGTTTGGAAGGATGTCCGAATTGACAACCCATGAACACACAGAGTCTGGAGTGCTCAGCAGACAGAAAATGAGACCAGACGTGCAAGCACCTTTGAACCATGGCATGCCTGTATGGCCCAGAGACTAAAATCATGGTTAAATTCTAAACTCAAATTAGAACAAGTCATGGTCTAAGTTGAGGCAACATACTTAAGTCCAAAACATTTACACCAGACAGTTCCTCGATTTGAGGATATTCTTCATTTGAAGCATCAAGCATATATCTTGGGTTGAAGTAGTAAAAAGGTAAAGGTAAAAGACCCCTGGACAGTAAAGTCCAGTCAAACTTGACTATGGGGTGTGGCGCTCATCTCGCTTTCAGGCTGAGGGAGATGGCGTTTGTCCACAGACAGCTTTCCAGGTCATGTGGCCAGCATGACTAAACCGCTTCTGGTGCAATGGAACACTGTGATGGAAGCCAGATTGCACGCAAACACCATTCATCTTCCTGCCGCAGCGGTACCAATTTATCTACTTGCACTGGTATGCTTTCGAACTGCTAGGTTGGCAGAAGCTGGGGCAGAGCAACGGGAACTCACCCCTTCATGCAGATTCGAACTGCTAACCCAACAGCAAGCCCAAGAGGCTCAGTGGCTAAGACCACAGTGCCACCTGCATCCCTGGTTTGAAGTACAGCCTGCCTCATTAGTGTGGATCATTGGCTTTAAAAAGGGATTGGGCAAATTCAATGGAGGGTAGGACTATCAATGGCTACTAATCGTGATGGCTGTGTATTACCTCCAAGGACAAAGGCAGCATGGCTCTGAATAACAGCTGCTGGGGAATAATAGCAGGAAAGGCTATTGCCCTGATGTCCTGCTTGTGGACTTTCCATAGGCATCTAGTTTGTCACTTTGGGAAACAAGATGCTGGGTGGGTCTTTGGTCTCATTCGGTACGGCACTACATAACTGCTAAGACAGTGATGCAACTGAGCATGCTTTTACAATTCTGCCTGGAAATGCTGCTGTACAACTACTGGCAGGGCAACCAAGAACAGTAAAATTGTCTGCATTGGAAGAACTGAGCCAACCTTTCAAGGGAGAGGGGAGGGGGAAAGAGAGAAAGGAGGGCTGCCAATGTGCCTC